GCTAATGGCAGATATGAGCTCAGAGCAACTGGCGTCTTTTTCAACTTACCAGTTGAAGCAAGAGGTAGTTATTTGAGAATTATGTTACAAATCGATTTATCTAGTAAATGTTGTTGAGCATAGGTTCAATTTCAGGCTAACAGACAATCTAGCATGCAAAAGAAGATTGAGAAAGCTTTGGAAGATGCAGGCCTTAGCTTGAGGGATGTTACACCTTTTATGAGGGTGAGAGTGGTCAGCTTGACCAGCAAATGCTCACGTAAGAGGTGCCCTCCTAGGGAAGGGATAATAACAATTTGGAATCCTACTGAGAAGCAGGTAAGGACCCAATGAGTTTGCTGTTGCAGTGTGACTGCAGTCTTCTTCTTCTTCTTCTTTTGTGAGAAAATGCCAGTGCAATCTTTTATCTTCACTCCTTGTTATTTTGAATCTTTGGCACTCTTCCTTGATCTTTATGCAGAAAACTTAAGAATATTAATTATACGCAGTCTTCCCAGCTTTGTGCTGCATTAATTTGTATCACATCTCAACATATTCTCTAAGGCTCTCGTATAAAGTGGAATAAGGAGGCATAACTTACCCACCTTATACGTGCCAAGCATCTAAAACTTTGAGTCATATTTGTAGGAAAATATTTCTTGTAGGCTAATGATACAAGCAATACCTGGTATAACATGATCTTGCTGCTATGAATTCTTCTTTTCATTTCTCTCTACAACTCATTTGAATCTGGAACTGGCAGATAAAAATCTATTATTATTCCAAATGCTAGATATTGCAATTTGGAACCTAATTTTCATCCTCTTCAATGGTTCCAACTCTATTGTCTCTTCCTCACAATAACTACATATTTTGCCATTAATTTAGTTTGCTTTCTAGTGTTATTGAGTTCATCTTGCATCTTAAACCATCTTCACTAATAAATGTTCTGAACCAGCACGGTTCAAGCTTTCTTACTTCTTCATGGTTCTCTTCTCTCTCGATTCACCAAGTGATTTGAACTTTCAAACATTTCACTGAAAAGCAACTGAATATCCATACAGTCTACTCCAGATATGTATTCAGCAAAACCACCAAAAAAAAACCATACATATACTTTAACTTTCATATATAAGAACATGACTTTATTCTGCAGTTCTGTTCGTAAAATTTAACTCCTATTCCCTAATCTTTCTTCGTAATTCTAATCTGCAATGTACTGTCTTCTTTGTTAAATCTGTTGGGACAAACCCATGGCCCAATAAAGCAAGGTCCTGGCAAATAGTAGAGCATAGCTAATAAAATGAACACACATATTTACGTGGAAAACCCCGTAAACGAATTTGGGGGTAAAAACCACGGGTAAGAATAGAAGAATACACTATGAGAAAAAACTTAGGAGTTACAATTTCTCTTTTCAAGGAGAAACTCTCTATTTTTCATTTCACTCTTCTATATGTGGAGATTGGTTTTATTGTTATGATTTCTATTTCTGATCAGCCCTAATTATAGGCAACTGAAATCACTATACACTAATTTTATATTATTTTCTTTTAATATTTTCAAACTCTACCTAACTCACAAAAGGGATGATGCCTAACAATTAGGTTGATGTCTCTTTCAACAATCTCCCACTTGAAGATTAGATTGAGTATCAATCATATATTCACATCATTCTTTCTACCTTACCATCTTTATATTGCTTACGTGTCCGACAGATCATAAGAGGACCGACACCAAATAAATTTATCAGTATTGATTACTTTTGTTAAAAAAATCTACTAGGTTGTCTTTGGTGTGAATTTTCTGCATATCCACTATTCTTTCTTCCACTTTCTCACGAATGAAGTAGTACTCAACTCGAATGTGTTTTGTCTTTGAATGAAAGGCTGAATTTCTTGCCAAATATAAATTACTCTGACTGTCACAAAAAAAAATTTTCTTTTGTTCATATCTGAGTTCCTCCAGCACCATCTTTAACCATATCGCCTCTTTACTAGCTTGTGTAGCTGCTACATATTCTGTTTCTGTTGTTGAAGTAACCACAACTGACTGTAATTTTAAAATCCAGCTTACAGCTCCGCCAGCAAGTGCAAACACATAGCTTGTGATGGATTTGCTATTATCACGATTACCTGCATAATCAGAATCAACATATCCATTGATAATAAAAATCTGATTCCCTATAACATAATGCAACATTTGAGAACATTTGAGGTTTCCTTAATGTATCTTAGGATCCTCTTTACATCATTCTAATACTTTTTATCAGGATTCGCAATGTATCGACTAATCACTCCTACTGTTTGTGCAATATCTGGTATTATACAAATCATAGTGAACATAAGACTTCCCACTACTAATGCATACGATACTCGAGACATCTACATCCTCTCTTCTTCATTGTTAGGACTCATGCTGGAGGATAACTTAAAATTAACAGAAAGTTGGGTAAAAATTGACTTACAATCGTACATGTTAAAGTGCCACAAGATTTTCTTTAAATAATTCTTCTGAGAAAGCCAAATCTTCCTATTAATTGTCTCGGTAAATTTACAATCCTAGAATCTTGTTTGCAAATCCTAAATCATTCATTTCAAATTTTCTAGCCAACTGTACATTTAATTTTTTTATACGGTTTTTGTTGGGGATTGCAACCAACATGTCGTCAACATGCAATAATAAGATAACAAAGTTATTTTTACCAAACCTCTTAAAATATGCACAAGGGTCCGAATTAAGTCTGTTGTATTCAAGGCTCATGATGAATGAATCAAATCTCTTGTATCAATATCTCGGCGCCTGCTGTAGACCATACAGAGATTTGTTCAATCTGCAAACTAAGTTCTCTTTTTCTTTTTCTTTAAAACTTTCTGGTTGGAGCATGTAAATTTTTTCTTCAAGATCTCCATAAAGAAATATTGTATTCACATCTAGTTGTTCTAGATGTAAGTCAAATATAACGCTCATAGTCAGGACTATTCGAACTGTTGTAAGTCGAACTACAAGAAAAAATATTTCATTAAAGTCAATATCTTCCTTTTGAGCATATCCTTTTACCACTAATCTATCACCATATTGCTCCACTTGAATTGCCATTTCGCTTGATCTTATAGGCCTATTTATTTCCAATGGTCTTTCTTCCTTCCTTGTGACAGTGACACAAGTACCTAAGTCTAAGGTTGCTGATAGCGGATCGCGTCGCGTCGCGGTGAGGTACCGCTAAGGTTATTTCGGACTATTGCGGTAAAATAGTGGCAAATAATGCATAGTCAAATAGCGGTCAAATATAAATATATTTAAATATTCTAAATAATAAGAAAAATCATATAAAAATCTAAAAATTCTATAAATGCATATTTGATGCCTAAACATGAAATAGATGTGTAATAATTATATAATATTAACAAAGTACGATCAGAACATGTTCACATTGGAGGACTAAACTCATGTCATCTCGACATTGCATAGAAAGAAATTTTCTCAAAAGGAGGTTTAAAAAAGTTTAGTTAATTTCTTTTCCCTTCCAGATTTGTTAAAATTATTCCTATGAAATAGTATGTTATCCTTTCAATAAGAGAGATCAGCTTTAAGAATCGAGAGGAATCAGAATTCAATGCTACTTAATCTAAAATACATCTAAAAACATGCAAGAAACCAACCAAAGATATATAAACATCCATATAAACATGCCAAAATGGCATTAAAGCTTGACATTCTCGCACAACCAGACCTAATGGCTAGTACAATTAAGTATTTGCATCATAATTAGTTAAGGGGAGTTGATTACCTGTTTCTCTGTTGCAGACGAAGCCTTGGCAACAGAGATGGAGATGTCGATGCTGGAACTGGAAGTTGTCGGAGGAGGAGCTTAGACCATTGGATGTCGATGGAAGTTGGAGGTTGTCGTCGCTGGAGCTAGAGGTTGTCGACGCTGGAGCTTGTCGCTGGAGCTTGGAGGTTGTCGTTGCTGGAACTGGAGGTCGGTCGTCGCTAGCGAGAGGGAGTCGTTAGAGGCGGAGAAGAGGGCCTCATTGTCGTGAAGGCGGAGGGAGGCGAGGCTGAGGGAGGGTGAGGGTTTCTTCGATGGGGTTTTCTTCGGAGGTTGGAGATGAAGGGGGAGTGGCGAGGCTGAGGGAGCTTGGGAGTACGTGATAGGCGGCTAGGGCACACAGGTTCGGGAACTGAGGGGTTTAAGTTTAGTGGGTACGTGGGTCGGGTTCGGGTCGGGTTCAGGGGCAATTCTTGTTTAAAACTTGATGCGGTTAATAGCAGTATTAGCGTTTTTAACCGCTAAAACCCGCTAAACCGCGCAATTCGAATACAAAGCGGTTTTTATCACTTAAGCACGCTGCTAATGCCTTAAGCGTAGCGCTGATGCCCCACTTCCGCTATTCGCGTCGCGATAGCCCCGCTTTTTGCCGCTTTTTACAACATTGCCTAAGTCTTATTCTTATGGAGAGCTTTAATTTCTTTTTGCATTGCTGTCATCCACAAAGATGCATCTGTGCTATTTATAGCTTCATAAAAAGTTGTGGCTCTCCATCATCTGTTGGAAGACAGTATGCAACATTACTCTCCATAATATACTCCAAGTGCCAAGTTGGTGGTCTTCTCTCACGAGTTGACCTTCGAACTTATGGAGCCTCAGACTCGACTGGTTCTTGTACATCATGCTCTGGTATTATTTCAGAAGAATTTGGATCATTTTTTACTTGAACAGCTATAGTCTCAAAGTCCTTCCTTGAACTGCTTTCTTTTTCTTTATTTTGTAGTTGATTCTCTACAAAGATAACATCTCTGCTGATAATAACCTTACGGACAGTAGGAACCCACAAGCGAAACCCCTTTACTCCATCAGCATACCCTAAGAATATGCATTTTTTGGATTTTGAATCCAGTTTTGTAATCTCCTGAGCATTGTACATTACGTACTCTGGACTTCCAAATATATAAATGTTGGAATAATCAGCTGGCTTATCGGTCCACATCTTCATTGGTGTTTTTATCTGTATTACGATTGATGGAGATCGATTCACCATATAACAGGTGGTTTTTACTGTTTCCGTCCAAAAGATTTTATCCAGATTTACAGTTGTCAACATTGTTCTTGTTCTTTCCAACAGAGTTCTGTTCATTCGCCTGTCACTCCATTTGGTTAAGGAGTATAAACAGTACTGAATTTTCTTTTGATGCCTTCTTGCTTGTAAAATGTAAGAAATTCACAGTCTGTGTATTCTCCTTCATTATCTGACCTCAAGCACTTGATCTTCTTTTCAGATTCAAGCTCGAATCGCGCTTTGTAGGCTTTAAAGATTGAGAACACATCTGTCTTCTTCTTGATAAGATACACTCAATATTTCCTGGAGTAATCATCAATAAAGGACACAAAATACTTTGCTCCATAGATATAACTGGTGTTTGTCATACATCAAAATAAACTAATTCTAGAATAGCATTGCTTCTAGAACTTGATGTGCTGAATTTCAGTGGATGCTGCTTGCTTGTAACACAATACTCGTAAAATGGAAGATCTACCGAATTAAGTCCACGAATCTGCTTCTGATCGGAAATAATCTTCAAGTGTTCTGACATGTGGCCTAATTTACGACGCCACATCATGGTTTGTGCTTCTCCGTAGCTAGTTAATGACATAAATGAATCAGCTTTCTGTAGGGTTTCTCCCTTGAGCATGTATATATTTGCATTTATATTTTCTTTTATCACAAGCGCCTCTCTTTCTATATGGGTTTTGCATCCTAGCTCATCTAATTGACCTAAAGATAATAGATTCTTCTTCAAGCCCTTCACATGTCGAACATCTTGATGGTGAGTATTGTACCATCAAATATTTTAATTTTGATTGTGCCAATACCATAAATCTCCAAGGCATAATCATTGTTCATGAATACAGATCCTCCTGAGATAGGTTCATATTTGTGGAACTATTTTCTCCGGGAGGTCATGTGCCAGGAGGTTGCTGAATCCAGAAGCCAGACATTAGCAAACCTCTTTCTGCATTCATCAATAGTGATTGCTCCACTGTATAAAATTTCACCATCATCTTACGTGCTGACAACGCATCTTTGAGATGTTGATGGCTTTGAAGACTTTTTATCATCACTTTTCTTATTGTGTCAACACTCCGATTTCACGTGTCCTCTTTTGCCACAATTGTACCATTTGATATTTTTTAATTTTGATCTACCATGGGTATGACTATCACTGAAGCCACGTTCCATTGATTTTCCTCTCGTCACTAATAAAGCCTCTGTTTGTTGCGAACTTGTATGTCTGTCTTCCTTGTTCTCTTGTCGATTTTTTTTCTAGAATAGCGGTTGCAACGTTGTCGAAGACTAGATTGTCCGTGAGAACGTTGTTTGTTAGGTTGATGATGAACTAATCATTCAAGTCAGGTAGACTCCAATGTTGTGTGTTCGACAACGTTGGAGTCAGGTAGACTCTAACATTATGTGTTCCTGCCAAAATATAAACTAATATTAGCTGATCCTCTCAAATATCTAAGTACCCATTTCACAGTCTGCCAATGGATCTTTCTAGGCTTATTCATATACCGACTCACAACACTGACTGCTTGTGAAATATTTGGACAAGTGCAGACCATAGCATACATAATTCTTCCAACTGCACTCGCATAAGGAACACAAGACATGTATTGCTCCTCTTTAGTCTGATGTGACAAATCTGCTGAAAGACGAAAATGAGCAGCAATCGGAGTCTTCACAGGCTTGGTATCAAGCATGCCAAATCTTTCCAACACCTTGATGTATTTTTCCTGAGATAGGAATAAACTTCATTCTCGCCTGTTCCTGTGGATCTTTATCCCCAAAATCTTCTTTGTTGCTCCTAAGTCCATCTCAAACTCAAGTTTGAGTTGAGATTTCAACTCGTTGATTTATAACATATTTTAGCTGCAATCAACATATCATTAACATACAAAAGCAAATACACAAAAGAACCATCATTGAGCTTTTTATGATAAACACAACTATTATATTTACTCCTAGAGTAACAATGCTCAAACATGAAAAATAGATTTCTTCAACCTACATACATGATTTTCTTTTCCTTTAATAATGAACCTATCTCAAACATGAAAGATTATGATTGAGAAGCAGACATGAAAAAATGTAAAGCGCCTCAGAACCGACAATGAGATAAGGTTTTATTTCACAGAGTTTGATCAATTCTGCAAGAATGAATGTATTGTGCTTCATCGTACAGTTCGGCATACGCCACAGCAAAATGGAGTTGCAGAAATGATGAACATAACACCTTTAGAGAGAGTTTGGTGCATGCTCTCTAATCCTGGTTTGTAAAAAAACTTTTGGGCTGAGGCAGTCAATACAACTTGCTATTTGATAAACAGATCTCCTTCCACAACAATTAATTTTAAGACTCCAGAAGAGATATGGTCCGGTGTCCTTACTAATTACTCTCATTTAAGAGTATTTGGTTGCTCTGCTTATTTTCATGTTAATGATGGTAAACTTGAATCTAGAGCAAAGAAAATATCTTTCTAGGATATGCTACTGGGGTGAAGGGATGTAGATTGTGATGTTCTGATCTTAAATCACCTAAGTTTATTATTAGTAGGGATGTCACTTTTGATGAGAAATTCATACTTCATCCGAGAAAGGATTTTGTTATTGATATCATAGGTACTGAAAAGGAGTCTAGCAAGCAGGTGGAGCTAGAGAGCTCAGCTTCAAGGGGAGTGTTTGAGGACGCTCATGTTGAACCAGTTGATACTACGAAAGGTTCAACTTTAGATGTCGATACACCGCAAGAGCAATAATATAATATTGCTACTGGGAGAACAAAAAGGCAGATCTGATCTGGGTTTGTCCCAACAAGTGATATCAGAGCAAGGTCCCGGCGAATAGTAGAGCATAAGTAATAAAATGAACACACAGATTTACGTAGAAAACCCTCTAAACAAATTTTGGGTAAAAACCACAGGCAAGGATAGAAGAATCCACCATGAGAAAAAACTTAGGAGTTAGAATTTTTCTTTTCAAGGAGAAACTCTCTATATTTTTCTCTCACTCTTCAATATGTGGAGATTGGTTTTTGTTGTTATGATTTCTATTTCTGATCAGCCTTATTTATAGGCAGCTGAAATCACTATGCACTAATTTTATATTATTATTTTTAATATTTTCACTCTGCCTAACTCACAAAAGGGACGGTGCCTAACAATTAGATTGATGTCACTTTCAACAATCTCCTACTTGAAGATTTGATTAAGTAACAACATATCTTCACACCATTCTTCTATTTTACCATCTTCATGTTGCTTACGTCTCCGACAGATCACAAGAGGATCGACACCAAATAAATTTATCAAAATCGGATTATTACACATCCATTAGAAAATTGCATGCAACATGTATAAGTTTTTTTATGTTGTATTTGGAATGTATATAGCTAGCTAATTTTGCTAAAAGTTCATAGGAGGAATAGCAAAAGTTTGATATTTTGTTTGGAAAATAAGATAGCAAGCCAATTTGCTAAAAATTCATTTGATGACTATCAAAGGTTATTTCAGTTCTTGTGGTCAGCATGGCTGGTTGTATAGCGAACCTTCTTATAAGCTGACATTATTCTTTGATATAGAATATTGTCCCCTTTGAAGAGTGCTATCAATGCTCCCACTTCTTATAAGCTGACAAGAAAATTTTAGTATATGATTTATTTATTTTAGTTGTCTATTACTATTGAACAGAAATTTGATCTGGTGGAAGGGCAGATATATTCTGTCTCGGGACTTATGCCACTGAATTTTGGTTCTGATATCCTTTACCTACAAGGTCGAGGATCTTCTACAATGTGGAAACCCATGCTATCAACATCCGAGAAATTTGAGTAAGGACCTGTATTGTTGCTCTTGATCAATCCAGAAACAAAAGTAGACTCATCCTTTTTTTTCCTTTCTAGACCATTTTTCACCCCTCGGAGACCAGTGCTAGTGTCAAGTTTGGGTGAGGTGCCCCTAGCAAGGTGATTATTGTCCTTATGTCATTTTCCTATCATCCTCTTTTAATTTTTATGAGTTCACGAGATTAAGTAATGTTTTTTTTTTCATTTTTTACTTGTTTTAGTGAATTTGATATTGCTGCTGTGGTCGTGCATGTGGGGGAGGTTTATATATCTGGTTGCCAAAAAAAACAGTGGATTTTTGTGACAGATGGATCCAAGTGCAGCTCAGAAGTAACATTTGAAGATCTGTATGATTGTTTGCTTGCTGTCAGCTTTTGCTCACCTGTCAATGATAATGATCTTTCTGGGCTACTCAGCCAGTGCCTTGTAGGGACACCAGTATGTGAACACTTCTTGCATATAAATTTTATGAGCTCTGACTTCGAATTTTTTTTGATTTATTTTATTATTCATTTCTTACTTATTTTTGCTCTTGGCTCTTGAACATTCTCATCCACTTGCAAATTGCAATCTTCAAGTTGTCACTGTTATTTTTAATGATTTCTTTCTAATATCTATGGTTTAGCAACATATATGTGACTAAACATTTCTCAAATTACTATGTGATTTTGAATATTCTCATTGATTTATTTACTTTAGCTGTTGGGAAAAAGTATAGCTCAACACCACTCATTATGATCACCGTCTATTTTAACTTAAAAAGAAATGATTTCTGTAGTTGTTTGTTGTGCTCCAACTTACAGATTTACTATACATGCCATAGGTTTCCTTCTGTAATCTTGTTAAGCGGGCAAGGGACCAGATGAATCATCTTTGGGTAGCTGAGGCAACAGAAAATTCTACATATTCTGTTTGCTATAACCTTCCAAAAAGTTTTCACCTTAAGGAAGCTGCAGGCTCTGATAACCACTGGTCAAACACATCTTCTTCGGTAATATTGAGTGTATAGATGTGCTTCTTCCCTCATTTCTCTAAAATAAATATTGAGTTCTTAGGAGAGGATCAATCTTTAACTGTATTTTCTATTCCCATAATTTGTTTGTTCTTTCTTAATGTGATGCAGATAATGCAAAAGCTTAGGGAGAGGATTTTATGTATTGTTGATGGTCAGCGAAGCTAATTATAAGACATTCTATTTTGAGATTTTATTCTACCTATATTCCACAATTAAAGTAAGCTTCCCTGTATAACTTCATCTATTTATTCGGCTAGTTACATATATTTGATTGTGCATGCCTATATGAAGATCTTTCTTTTTTTTTTTTAAGTACAGGAAAGTATGTACCGCTGTTGAGTGCAGTTTACCTCTGTTGATTGCAATTTTCCCCATGAATATCGTAGTTTCATCCTAAATTCATTTTTATACTACTTTCATTTCTGATCAGATAATATTCTGCTATTTTTCCTTTCAGTTTGATATATGCATGTCAGCCATAATTGACGAGAATGTAAGAAACAGTTTGGAGTATCCTTTGTTAATGCCATGTGAAAATTTTATATTACAAATCTACAGCCTTAAAGAGTAAGCTCCAAAAGTGGAATGTTCTATGCTACTATAAATTATCTAAAACCTGCTACTATAGCTAAAATAGAGTGGACTATTATCAATACCTCTAACTCAAAAAGAAAACAAAATGTATAAGCACCTATAAGCACCTCTTTTGGCCAGGGGAAAAAAAACCTTGAACCTTCACTAGCATACATAATAATAGAAGGATCACTTGCATGCTACAATTGATTCTTACAGTTCAGTAATCCTCCTTAATGATAATTCCACTGAAAGGACCTAAATATGGGAGTGAAGTCATATCATGCTAGTGTTGGTAATCACCCATAACTTGCCACGAGAAAACACTAATGAGATTTGAAGATTTATGATCGAAAATGAATGTCTATATGATGTCTCCCCGTTGCAGTCACATATCAAATAGGCCCTGACATGACCCTATAAAAGAAGAGAACTAGTGCCTTAAAAACAAATGGTCTGTACATGAGAGGGTTGAAACAGCAGGCTTTCTATGATATTCATGCTCTAAATCTGATTCCAAAGTGGTGCATTTCTATTGTCAAAATTAGCTCAAAGAGATCTAGTATGCTTATCCACATCTTTTTGTGCAGTGGAGTACACAGCAGTGTTCGCCATATTTTTTCTGTGATCAACTGAAGCTTGATATTTATTTATTAAAGTTCAGAAATTGTATGAGCTTCTCTGATTTAAACAATGCATATAACCATGGGGTTGACAACTTGAAATCTGTATCTCTGAATAGGCAGTTTCTCTGTATTGTAGCTTAGGTGAGGATCTGAAAAGGAATTAAGTATTTGAAAGACAAAAGGGAATTTTATTTCATTTTGATATTGAACCTATAATCAGCTATTTGATCTTTCTATCTATTTTGGATGGGATGAAGTTTAAGACTTCAGCAAACAGAGACCTCTTTTGTCCCTTTTTTTAACTTTAATTTGTATTGGCCTTTGGCGACAACAGTTCTTCTACATGGAAAAATGAATGTGTTGGCTTTGATGAATGCCCCATGATGTGCCAGAAGCCAGCAAATGCAATTCTATCAGCACTTATCCATTGTCTGTATAGCGCAATGTTTCTTGGAATTTTGAGTTACCGCAGGATATTGGGCTTGGAAATTTGTCAGTTTGAGTTGCAGCAGGGTTCGGGCTCATGACTTCTGTCGAAAACTATGCTGATCAAGATTATAGCTTTCATATAGCTAATAGCATGGTGTCCAATGAAAGGGGATGGAAGAACATTTGGACGAAGAGGCTGCTTCAAGTGCTAGTACTTTTTGTTCCTGTAGCTAGAATATAATAAGGAAGGTTTTCAAGATAGTGTAGCAGCTGAAACAGATAATATTTATAAATCTGAGAACGCTAACAGCAACTCTCAATTTTGTATATATGTTCAATTGTTCCATGTACTGGTAGTATTTCTGGAATAAAAGTTTTTTAATCTGGTTGTGTAATCTCCTTTCTAATCATTTGCAGTTTTTTCCGCTTCGGTATTCAATTTAACACACCCTTCTCATGTTAAACATACTGAATAGCATTGTGCTCCTGTTAACTGGGGTGTGAACTTATGCCCAATTGCAAATGCTGGAGAGTTTGTGCACATTTGATGTTTCATTATTCTCACGAGATCATTTTGCTTCACAACTTTCGCCACTTGTGCTATTATCACCATATTTAAATGGTTCGGGTTCGCCAAAATTTTGGCCTAGGGTTAAATTCAGAATTTGATTAAATAACAGGAGGAGAATGAACAATTTAACAAGATCACAGTACCATCGGCTGTCATTACTCTAAACATAGCAGATGAATTTACGTTAATATATTCATAAGTAAATTAAGTATTGAAGGACAGTTAGCGAATCATTAAAAGGGTAAAATTGAAAGAAAAGAAACTGTTAACAGCCAACCACTGTTTAAAAAATACATATTTCCACTGTGTTAACAAAGACAAAATTATATATGTATATTACCACTCTACGTACACCGTCACAAAAAATTGAAGAGCAACTCATTCCAGATATCAGGAACTCCAGGCAAACACCAGTGTATACAATCAGCATAGCTCGAGGGATTTGAGAGCTGCTCCTCTGTAAATGCCTCCCAAAACTTCCGATAAATTGAAGGATGGCCATCTTTTCGATACTCTGAAAGCTGAGTGATATTAATAACCTTTACCCTAGAGCCCAAATTATTCATTATCTTCTCCACCATTCTCATTGTGTCGAGGTCTGAGCCAGTACCCCAGTAACCTTCATTATCGTTTATCGGAGTCATTTCACCGTAGCAGTTTCCTTCCCTTGCTGGATTCCATTCCCGGCTCCTGGAGGGAAAATATGCAGAGATGTTAATATATAGAGTGAGTGATGTGGTTCTTTCTATTTTTTGCATTATGGATGTTTTCAACAGAGGAAAATTTCAAATATTCTATGATAATAATCCAGCAGGCAAATGCCTAAAAGAAAAAATGAAATTTTCATCAAAAGCACTGATCACATAATCTAATACATAAAATTTAATTTTCTGGTAATCATAAGATACCCAGGTAATTTTATTCTACAGTACGTTTCACTAAACCCAGTAACACACAAACCACCCAAAAAAAATTGTCACTTAACCTCCCTGACGTTTGGTCAGGCAACTCCTAACTAACACCGTTAGATCTAACCGCACATATGAAAATCACATAAGTCTAAATATTCCCTTGATGGACAAAACTCCTTCCATTTCTTTTTTAATTATTTAAATCCCAAAACCCCTTTTGGGTTTTCTTTTTCTCTCGGGTGGGTGTGTTTGGGGAGGGTAGGGTTTAAGTGACACTTATAAAGTTTAGGGGGTTATCTCCAAAAAGGCCAAACTACAAAGGGTTTTTTCCGAAATTTACCCCTTATTCTCCTACTGTGTTGGTTACAATAATTTTAAAAATCTAATGAATACTTACCAGAGATGGGTAGGGGACATGGTAACAAAAAAGGCTTGCTGTTTTATAGGATTCATACGATAAAAAACCCACTTTGCCCATGTCTCTAAAGCTAATTTCATTGCATCAACACCATCTGCAGCTTCACAATTCGCTGTATCATCAATATCCCATCTGCATAAAAGCAACAAACTTATGAAACATAATAAATATCAATTAAAAAAACTTTCTGCTGTTAAAAGATTAAAGGAAGTTTAAATTTACAGTAGTTTTATTTTTGGCCCGCTTCTCCACCATAAATAAGAATTGAACACCAGTATGTCTGCTTTCTCCCACTCAGATGCATGTTTGAGAAGTGAATTTGGACGGATGATTCTATGGTCTAGTCTGTGGTTCACTGGATCATCTGAATTTGACTCGACGATGAGAGGTGCCCAGTAAAACTCAACTGAGGCATTATATTCCTGCATGATGAAAGGATTTGCTCAGTTCAACTGCAGATATTTCTTGCGCGTATGCATGCACACACAGAAAAAAAAGGAAAAGAAAAAAAGAAGATGTATACCTATGCAGCATTATAAAGCCAGAGGGTTAGTGAACCATACAAAATATTGCACTTTAACTTAGACAGGCAAATGACACGCACAACAGTAAGTGTATGACATAGAGAAAATTCTTGTGCATTCCAAAATTGTATAGATTGGATGTAGAGTATAAACAAACAATTATTAACCCATTACAATAAAAATTCACAATATCCATGATTCTGGATATTTGTTCAATGAGTGTTACTATCCAAAGATAGGTGTTCTCCATCAAAGGATCTAGAATACCACTCACCACTGTAATGAAAAAATTGAGAAAAAATTGAATATTTCTTTAGAAATTCTAGTTACATAACTTTCACTGTCAACTTATATTCCATATGTTTCCTTAAAGGGAACTTATATCCATCTGATTCCAAGTTTGAACTATCAAAGTACGTGTTTCCATGTTATAAAATTTTAGATGAAAACATCTCACTGAGAGATGAATATTTCTCTTTTACTTCTTCAATAACAATTTTCCATCGCCAGATACCAACATGTCATCTTACATTCAATATGATATTTCAACTTACTCATGAGTGACAAGTGCCAACCAACTAGCTAGAGCTCCATCTGTTTCAAGTTTTAAGTAAACGTCGAGATTCATTAAAACCACCATTTATTTTTGTTGTAAGTAGTACAGGTGCTTTCTTTTTGTAGTGGGTTCTTGTTTTTTGTTTTGTGTTTTTTGTTTTGTTGGGGATGGAAAGTTCTAAATATGTTGTCTTCTTTTCTATTAGAAAGTTAACTTTGCTCTCACTTACCATATACGTAAAAGATATCCATAAAATGAAGGAGCATTAATGTCACTACACCTACTTACGTTACTTAGGCTGTGTATCACTAAATTGTAATGGAAAATATGCCAGTAAGTAAACACAATTTATTGCAGTCCATCACAGTGGCTGCTGGGTAAATATATTATAAGCTATTGTTACTAAGAGACAAGTTTAAATTTACCTCTGCCTTGAAAATAGTCAAAGATTGATATCCATTGCCCTCTATTTAGTGAATCACCCACAAACATTAACCGCTTATTTCTCAGCTTCTCCCACATTTCTGCTCCATTCCATCTTCATAAATACAGAAAAGAGAAGGCAAGAAGAAGCAAAATCAGTAATTTTTGTTCTTCACATTCAGCAATCTAGAGCTTAAACTTGGATCGACAAAACCATAATGTTACCATACAGACACATTCTCTTTATTCGTTTACAGACAAAAAAAAAACAAAAACAGTTTTTTGATACAGTCCCTTAAATTTATCATATTATGAAACTTTCTCAAATCATTGAAATTGCTATTGAGTCTCCCAATTCTTAAGTTATTTTGAAATTAGTCCATCCGATCAACAGTAGTAGCAATTAGAGGTATTACAATCTTCAAATCGTATATTACAAGGAGTAAGGCAGCAATTGTCTCGCGTTGTTTTAATGACAGTACTCCTCATGCTGACACAAAAAGGTTTCTAAAGGTAAAAACAGATACAGATAAAATTTAAAATTATTTCCACTTAACGTTGTATATCTGCAGATATGTTTACTCAAATGCCTTCATTTCCCTTCTCAAGTTTCAACTAAGTTACTAAGGTAATGTTGTTAGTACCGGTCTCATACTACACTTGTCAGTCGTATCTATTTCTCCTACCAAAGAAAATCTATTCATTCAGCTCGTAAACTGAGGGGGGAAATAGATAACAGAAAGACTTAATTAGGGCAAAATTCATGTTCAGCTTCTAGAATAAGAAAAACATTCGGTCTACTAGAAAAAACAAAGATGCTTCCATAATAAATCCCACCTCTTCAAATCACAATCATGAGGCTGCCATCGCCATTTTTGATACTCCGTATCTTGTCGGCCATGCTTGGTGCAAGCTAGCTGATCTGACATATAAGGACACCCTGCCTCATTCTGCAATGGGTATGATACATTATCATATATCCATCTCCCTGAAAACATATCACATTGTTCATCTTTTCGTGAATTCTTTCTTTTGTGAACAAATTCCAAGTTTGATTGCCCATTGTAGCTCTTGGTAGATGTACAGGCCTTAGCCCAATCTGAAGCATCTAGAAGAAAAGCAAAATACTTATTTCAGCAACTGAATCCAAGGGATGGTAGGTGAAAGAGATGAATAAGCAATCAAACTTCAGAATCCATTTGAATGTGCGGACGCAAGAGATGTTAGGACAAATAAAGCAAGAATTTGAGCATGACCTGCTTCCCGAAGAAAGTGAAAGTTCATACAAACACCTAAATCCAAGAGATTCGGAGAACAAAAGAAGTTGACCAAAGCCCTAAACCCATTTCTAAAATCTGACCCAAAAAAGGCACAGAAATTAGCTCAACGACCAAAATCATGGATCCACTTGTTCCATTAAAAATACCCCTATCGGCATTATTCATCCCAATCGAATCCAAGAGAACACTTCAAATTTCTGGAAAAGAAACCGGCGAACTTTAATCATGAACAGTTATAAAGGTCTTATTCCATCAGTATGAAATTCACTACCGAGTTCAATTAAACCGCAGAAACCTCCAAAATTCTAGTAAATACCATTTCAGCAACTTAGAGCATTAGATCAGAGGACCAACAACAATCAGCAAGACGCCAACTTGGACCATTCCCTGAACTAATCAATAAAAACAACCCCTACCCATTTACTCATTTCATCCACAACACCACGGAACAAAGAGCAGTTCATCAAAAACAAACAGAGAAAAAGGAGGCGGCTTTGACCAAGCAGGAGAAAATTACCCAAGACCCGATTCCCGTCAGACAGAGGAGAGGAGAAATTGGTGGTGACGTAAGTTGGGAACGAGGGTTGGGACCTTCTAGAAGCCCCGTTGGGCCCCACCTGGACCGCAGTTCCGGTGCTGTGGGTGGTGAGAAGAAGAAAAGAGAGCATGAAGAGAGCGGAGAGGGAGAGGAAGAAGAAGAGCTGGGCTTTCTTTCTGCTCCATTTGTGCATTGTTCTAATGAAGAATTGAGAAGGCCGAGGCTCTGTTTAGATTTCTTCTCTTTGAAGACTGAGGCTCTGTTAGATTTCTCCTGTTCTTTTTTCTTTTTTTTTATCGCCCTTTTCTTGTGCGTGTGAAGACTAGGATTTGCTTTCCGACGGAGGAATCAATGAAGGGGGAGCCACTGGATGGCAGCAGGAGGTCTTATTTTTTTAATCAGGAAGGTCTATAAGAGGAAGTATTTATTAGATTTTGCTCATTATGATAAAATGTTTACCCCTTTCTAATTTTACTAGTTTGCGGTCCGTGCAAAGCATGATAATTTTTTTTCATGCTAAAGCAATCATGTTTCTTAAAAGCTATAGTATCTCGCATTTTGAAAATGCTACGGTGTTCTCGCGAGCTACAGTAATAGTGTTACTATGCATATCAGCAATCATAAGTTCCTTTGATTGTTACAGTATTTCGTATTTTTAAAATTACTACAGTGCTTCAGTGTGCTACAGTAACAAATATTACTGTTTATGATACAGTAATTATTTTACTGTTGAATTTACTGTAGCATGAATAGGAATTCTCTGATCCTCCTATTTATATAAACGAATAGATTTGATCCACCTCCCTTTGACATGGTATTAATTGGTCAGATTAAGTAAACACCAAACCTCCTCAAAAATCTTTATGCAAAGGACACTAATAAAATTGTACCCAACATGTCATGTGATCGAAATCGGACTCAAACAAGTGGATTATTTTTAGTGGTAGATGCGATTTGAACTTGGTTGCCTGGTATCATGTCAAGTATGCCTTTCGTTAAGACAAAATTTTAAAGTTGTGACGAGATTTACATCGTACTCTTGTTTTTATAGTTATTTTGATTATTATTTCAGTTACTTTTTTTTTCTTTCTATTTCGTTAACCTTTTGTTTATTCTTGTAAGGTGATTGAGCAGCTTGTGTCAGACAACCATTGACAACTAGGTCAGAATTGGTTATATCTCGATTTTATCCTAACAAGGCCAAAAATAAACTAGTGGGAAACTTTGAACATGTTTGAAGATAAAATTTTTGGTCTAAGGAAAACAGAGCTAATGTGATTCAATTTTTGCAAAACACAAAATTTTCCAAAATGGGGTTAGAATAAATCCTAGAACAATTTTGTGTTGCTATCAAATAAAACTTTAGGGTTAGTTTGACAAACTTTTCAAAACTTAGCCAGGTTGATCCTAACCCATTTTTGAGATATTTTACTTCTATTTTTATTTTTCGAACAAAATACTTCTCAAAATTGACCCATTTAATTTTCATATGACGATGGAAACATGCTCTAATATTTCATTTTGTAGGTCAAGTATGTGAGTTGAATACTTATTTTGGGAGGTTGTTTTGAACAAGTCTTTAGTTTTCATTTAAAAAAATTGCAAAGAGGCTCTAAAATTTCATTTTATAGGTTAATTTATGAGACTTTTAGTACTTTCGACGAGCTCCTACCTTTTCATAAATGGTTGGAACTGGTTATCTATTTATCTTCACTAGGTTTTATGCACGTGCAATACACGTGGTTAAATACCATGATTAAGTAGATTTGATTTATTTTCTTACTAAAATATGTTCCTCGGTTCCACTTTGATGGTTTTTGGTTACTTATATTTCTAAACTTTAGCATTGTGATTATTTATTTTATTTAATGTTTATTTAAATGGCTACACCCAATTTTAATTTTTTATGATGATAATTGAATTGACAGGAAATAAATGTAATCCAAAATTAACTTGAATTATCACGTCATTGAGACCGACATGAAACCAAGTTTGACCACAGAAAGTATAGTGCTGCAAAAATAAAAAATACTTCAGAAATAGCGTTATAAAAGGAAAATGAATACTTAAAGCTAATAAGACAAGATGATTGGTTAAAAGTGGGCTACCATGACACAAAATATAATATGGAGTTTGTTCTTAATTCTTGATAGGCTTTAAAAATTTATAAATTAAAGAATAGTGCTAACTCTAGTACACTTTTATATAATAAAAACATACACATAAGCATATAAATATAGTAAAAAGTTTATGAAAATCTCTTCTAAAGATTCCTAATTTACTCAAAAAAACTATTCTATAAATATTCAGAAAATAGTGCGTTTCATTCCTTCTGTTTTATTTTTTATTGAGATGTTATCAATCCTTCTCCACCTTTATTTTTTTGATAAAGTTAGACTATTTTTAGATGTCGAAAAAGGATAGTAAAATCTTAAATTAGAAGTTAAATTTATCTATCTTAATAAAAATACAAACAACTACTTTTGTTTACTAAGTTTTGAAATTTTAGTCGTTTTTGTGATTTTGAATTTTAAGGGCGTGTTTTGCAGATTTTGAAACTTTGAGAGTGTTTCTTTCTTTAAAAAAAATTAAATTTTAACTTGGATGCTTGTAATTCTATATTTCATATGGTGATAGTAAATTTTTTAAATGTCATGACATTTCTTGCAACTCTGAATTTTAAAGGTATTTTTTACAATTATTAAAATTTTGGATTGTTTGTTACAAAATTTAAAATTTTAGCGGTCTACTGATAATTTTGAGATTTGATATGTATTGGTTATGAGTTTTTAAATTTTAGGGTTTTTCATTATTTTAAATTTTTAAAGAAGTTTTTTGTAATTTTTATAATTTTTGAGGTATTTTTTACAAATTTTAAATTTTCAATGCCTGATGGTTATCCCTTGAATTCATCTTTGTTGTTTGCAAGTTTTGAAATATTAGAATTTTAGGATGTTTTTTATTATTTAAACTTTTGAGGGTGTTTTTATAGTTTTTAAAATATTGAGGGTGTTAATTACAAATTTTAAATTCTTCAGTGGCTGCTATTGATTTCTAAGGCTGCGTTTGGTAACCGCTGCGTTTGTGGCATTTTTGTTTTGTTAAAAAAACAAAACGTGTTTGGGAACCACTCTGTTTTTTAGTCTGAAACACAACAAACCCAAACTTTCAATGAATTTCTCAAAATAACAAATAGATGTTTAAGGGCCGTTGTTTTCATTGTTGGCCTTCTTGTTCTGATGATGATTTAACAAACAATTTACATCTAATATTGTTTGTCTAGTGTTTGTGTTTTGTTATTTATTGTAGACAAATACATTGGAGGATGGATAGAATTGCGTATTCACGATCATATCCAATGAAGGTTGGCGGAATTGTGGAGTGAAGCCTACGTAATTCAAAGCTAAAGATTCAAGTTCAAGCTTCATTCGCAAGTATACCAAGATAGAGCTTCGTTGAAGATCACAAGCTTGTGTAAATTTAGTTTTAGGTTTTATATTATGTGTGTTAGTACTTTAAGCTCAATCATATACACACATACATGTTTTGGTTTTGTATATATATAGTTATATATATAAATATATATTTTGGTTTGATAGTTTTCAAGTTTTAATATGAAACAATTGAATATAATTAGAAAACATATTTTTGTTTCATACTTACATGCATATATATGATTTCATCAATATCAATTCTATTTAGTTCAATGAAATCATATTTACTTTTGAAATGTTTGTAAAATATGTAATTTTGTGAAAATATTATTTTCTTAGTTTATGAACTTAATAACAATCATATACATCTTTTATTAAGTCTACAAAATCATTTTGTAATATTTCAAAACATGGTTAAGCTAAAATGTCAAAACTCATGTGTTTACATTTTTCATGTTTTGGACTATTTTACAAAATAATAATATTTCTTATTTGGGATGTTCTTTTTAAAAACTAGTTTTTGTAGCATGTGTATTATCATGTCTATAATCATTTCCCAAATTTTTATAATTTTTGGAATTTATTTGATATTTTTAAACAGAGTTTTAAAATCAGAAAAACTGTTTCAAACCTGAAATTTCATGTATCAGTTTACGGTCGACGATCGACCACCCTTGAGTCCAGAGACTCATAAGTCGACTTATGAAAGAGCCGTTGCACAGTAACGGCTAGTTTCCAATAGTGTTTTTTGGGGGCTTTTTTGGTCTTTTTCTTAGGGTTTTTCCTGTTTGGGTTCCTATAAATATCTCATTGCTCTCATTTTTCAGTTAATCTAACAGAATGTTTTAAGAAAGTTTAACGAGGGTTTAAAGTTTTGTTTAAGTGTGTTTAAAAGCTTTTAAGTATTTTCAAGTTTGAGTTTGTGAAGATAATTTCACAAGAGCAAGTGGAGATCATCCTATGGTGTTTGAGCATTCACTCTTCTCCCTCTCTCTTGTTATCTATAGAGAAATTTTCTAAACTCAATTTCTAGTTTTGTATTTACATTGTTTATTGATTATCATCTCCATAAGCTAGATTTACATTGAGTTTAGTTTGTTTTGATTATCTCCTTGTTCACACACAACCATTAAGCTTATTGTATTTACATTCATAGTATAATTTGGGTTGTGGGTTTGTGACCTAGAGAGTGAACTTACATTGAGTTCTCACTTTGTATTAGAGAACAAACACTTTGTTATTGTGCCTAATTATGAAGTTCACTTTGTAATATACTTTACACCGAGAGGAGTGTGTGGTGAGGACGGAGTCGATACCGAGAGGAGTGGCGTCGGTGGCCTAGTGAGAGGTGATAATTCTGAGCACTTGAGGGAGTCGATACGTGAGGACCAACACTTGAGGTTGTAGCTTGTGTATGTACTTTGTGAGGATTTGTGAGAGTTGTCGGTTGACTTGATAACCGAGTGTGTAGAGTTTTCGGTTAGCTAGAAAACTGAGTGTGTAGAGAAGTTGATAACCGAGTGTGTAGAGTTTTCGGTTAGCTAGAAAACTGAGTGTGTAGAGAAGTTCCGACTTCCAAATCGGGTTTTATAGTAGATTCTCCCCGGGAGTGGGAAGCGGAGACATAGGACGGAAGGTCCGAACTCCGTGATTATTTCCTTGTGTTTGGGTTTGGCATTGGCACATTTATTCTTGCATATTGTTATATCGTCATTGTTGCATGATTATATTATTTACCATTGTTTATATTGTATATCAT